AATAAAGATCAATAAACTGTTGAAATTGTCCCTGTTTAACCTTATTGAGACGTCATGTGTAAATTAATGGACTGACAGCATAAAATAATGACAATGTTAATAAATAATAAAAATACGATCGTTTTCAATATTGTAATACTCCTAAAAGCTGTTAATAAATAAAGCACATTATATACACAATAAAACTCTTGTTAAAGCGGCTGATAAGGGCTAAGAATACACACATAACCAGAAATAATACCAATAGGAGTATATGACCACCATGAACAGTAAGCAGTACTCTTAACCTCTGAGCTAATGGTTCATCTCTGTATCACCAACCAACCCAACTACTTCACTACTGTTGGCGGCAGTGAAGGACAGACCGAGACTCTCAACATATAAACAAGTTGAATAGAAAAATTATCTATGAGGTCAATATTTAATATATTGGCTGCGACTGAACACTGATTAAATATAATAGTTACCCCTGCTCCGTTTTGTGTGATTAAATATAATAGTTACCCCTCCGTTTTGTGATTAAATATAATAGTTACCCCTCCATTTTGTGATTAAATATAATAGTTACCCCTCCATTTTGTGATTAAATATAATAGTTACCCCTCCATTTTGTGATTAAATATAATAGTTACCCCTCCATTTTGTGATTAAATATAATAGTTACTCCTGCTCCGTTTTCTATGATTAAATATCTGCTCCGTTTTCTGTGATTAAATATAATAGTTACTCCAAAAACTGCCGCTCACAGAGCCGTTTTGCTTTGTTTTTGCTTTTCTTTTCCTTCTGGGGCACTGTTTTCGTTGTATTATTCCCTTAAAGTTAATGAAAAGTGAAATCGGGCCACAAATTTGACGTTTTTACGTATTTTAACGTATATACAAGTTCGAAGCTTCAAATGCTTCAATGAAGCAAAAAATTGATACAATGAAGCTTCGTGACGTCACTGTGAACCTTGACATATAAGGCCTCGACTAACTCGCCTTCGTCCCTTTCCTCACCGACCACTCGCCACTCACTGACTGCAGCTGACAGGCAGGTAAGCGCCGCTCCTCTAGTCTCCTTTATATACGTGTAAATTTTTTGCCCGACTGCCTACAGTCAAAATGGCCAAGAGAAATGGTTATTCTTTTGGGTAGTGTTTAATATACTTAATTATGGCGTAATAAATGCTGATTTAAGTCAAAAACTTGCCGGCCGGTTGTTGCAGTTCATAGGGTCGTATCCCCAAGTTTCACTGTGCTCTAAGGCCCATGGTACCTACTGTGCAGCTTAAACAAATACATTAGTATTATATTAAGTGGCTCTCTAACGTCTAACCAGTAATTTCTTAATGTTTTAGGCAAATATACTGCCAAATGAGTCATGACAAACGAGCCTAAACTATGAGCCGGTAGTGAGTAACGAGCGTAAACCGTTCATCAGTATTTAGGTAATAATTAACCAGTAAGTGAGTACAATGACCAGATTGGGTTAGATTACCGTTTTATTTATTTTTTATTTCTTGCTTCGAAGCCCAACACACTTGTGGGGGAGCCGGGTGGTCATAACTCAACAACTGCGCAGTTCATCACCACCACTGTATTCACCATTGACAACTGCGCCGCATTCACTAGATTTAACACAAATAGAAGTATTTTTGGCGGAATCAAGATGTATTTTTACTGGCTAGTTCTTTGTTTACTCTTTAGCTACGATTTCTGGGAGTTGAAACAATTTATTAAGGGTTCTAGCCGGTCGGGGTGAGGCGAGGGAGGGAGGGAGCCGGTCGGGGTGAGGCGAGGGAGGGAGGGAGCCTGTCGGGGTGAGGCGAGGGAGCCGGGCAGGGGTGGAGGCGGGGAGGAGGAGGAGGAGCCAGGCGGGGTGGGAGGAGCGTGGGAGGAGAGCCAGCCAGCCGGGCAGGGGGTGAGCCTTGAGCGAGGAGGAGGGCCGGGCAGGGGGTGAGGCAAGGGAGCCAGGCGAGGCGAGGCTGGAGACAGGTGGTGGGGAACCCGGAGGCAGGAGGGAGGAGGAGGAGCCGGGCTGGGTGGGAGACAGGGAGGGGCCGGGCGGGTGAGGCCAGGGGAGCCGGGCGGGGCAGGCTGAGACAGGTGGAGTGGGGAACCCGGGCTTGGCAGGGCGAGGTGGGAATCGGGGGAGGGGGAGGAGGGAGGAAAGGAAGGAAGGAAGGAGGAGGGGGAGGAGCCAGCCGGTCTGGGTGGGCGAGGCAGGAGGAGCAAGGAGAACCCGGAGGCGGGAGGCGGAGTGGGGGAGCCGGGCGGGCGGGGTGAGGAGTGGGGGAGCCGGGCAGGTGAGGGCAGTAGGGGTGAGCCGGGCAGGACAGTGAGCGAGACAGGGAGCCGGGCAGGAGCAGGGCAGAGCCGGGCCAGGCCAGACAGCCCAGGCAGGACGGGAGCCGGAGCCGGGCAGGTGAACAGAGCCAGGCAGGGGCGGAGACGGGAGACGGGGGAGCTCGGGCCAGACCCAGGAGCAGGCAAGCAGGCAGGAAACCAGGCAGGGCAGGAGCCGGAGGCAGGGGTGGGGCAGGGCAGGGCAGGCAGGGCAGAGACTAGAGCTGGAAGGCTAGGCTAGAGGGCGAGACGTTTCAGAATACAGTATATATTAAATCCCGTAACATTAAGGTTCCTGGTAATTTTTTTAAGTGGACAACCATGGATTTTACAATCGGAAAAACCCATTGGTCAACAACCAAAAAGCACCATAACTAACCTAACAACGTAACGTAACGTAACCTGGAGGTTCCTTGGTTGTCTCCTGGTGTAAAAAGGTCCATTTGTATGTGCACACAACAATTAGAAAGTAAAACAAAATAATATTAGCGTATTTGTGTTTAGATCGGTTATGACCTCCATTTCCGTCGGAAATTGGTCGTTTTTTATAGATTTTTTTTGGCGAGGCGTTTCCCGAAAAAAATATTGGCTCAGCGAATGAAAAATGCAAAAAAACAAACAAACACTATAAAAACATAAACCGGACCTAATCTAACCGACTCACCATATGTTGGAATCCCTTATTTCTTACCTTATTGGCCTGGTTCTCGTTGGAGTTACCACATGTGTTGGTCTTGACGACACTTACATTCGTTCTTGCATTAATGACACTTTACGGAGGTCGGGAGAACACCATGAGATCTAAAAATGCTATAGTTTTAGTGTGGAGGTAATGGTTTATGTAAACAGTTGGGGACAGTAAGTACACGTGGTGTAGTGGTAGATGGAAGCTGCAAGTTTAATTTTCATTCTACGTAAATTACAACTTTAAGCATGTTGCAGGTGACAGCTGGTGTACTTGAAGGCCAATGGAGAAGTGACAGAACCTTGAGCAAGACTTAACACCCAGCATGTTACTTCAGCCTCATCAGTTAAGTTACTTATATATTATCTTAGCTATTATGGTCAGCCCATAAACCACTCAACACTGTGCTCCTACACTGGGCAGTGGAGGGTGTGTGTGTGGGACCTGGCTGACTGTGCATTCTGGAGGACTGTGTGTGTGTGTTGGAGAGCTCTGGAGGACTGTGTGTGTGTGTGTGTGTGTTGTAGAGCTCTGGAGAACTGTGTGTGTGTGTGTTGGAGGACTGTGTGTGTGTGTTGGAGGGCTCTGGAGAACTGTGTGTTGTAGAGCTCTGGAGAACTGTGTGTGTGTGTGTTGGAGGGCTCTGGAGAACTGTGTGTGTGTGTGTGTGTGACTGACTGTGTGTGTGTGTTGGAGGCTCTGGAGGGAAACTTGTGTGTGTGTGTGACCCGGCTTGTATTGTGTGTGTGTTGGAGGGCTCTGGAGAACTGTGTGTGTGTGTGTGTGTGTGACTGACTGTGTGTGTGTGGAGGCTCACAGAAACTGTGTGTGTGTGTTGGAGGCTCTGGAGGAAACTGCTCGTGTGTGACAACTGTGTGTGTGTGTGTGTTGGAGGGCTCTGGAGAACTGTGTGTGTGTGTGTGTGTGTGTGTGTGTGTGTGACTGACTGTGTGTGTGTGTGTTGGAGGCTTTCTGGAGAACTGTGTGTGACTGACTGTGTGTGTGTGTGTGTGTTGGAGGACTGTGTGTGTGTGTGTGTGTGTTTTGGAGGACTGTGTGTGTGTGTGTTGGAGGACTGTGTGTGTGTGTGTGTGTTGGAGACTGTGTGTGTGTGTGTGTGTGTTGGAGGGACTGTGTGTGTGTGTGTGTGTGTTGGAGGGACTGTGTGTGTGTGTGTGTGTGTGTGTGTGTGTGTGTTGGAGACTGTGTGTGTGTGTGTGTGTTGGAGGACTGTGTGTGTGTGTGTGTGTGTTGGAGGACTGTGTGTGTGTTGGAGGGCTCGGTATTATTGCAGTTTCGGCCAGTACATGCCTGACTTTTAACCATCCCCAACCTTTAGATCTCCTTATTGGAGTATTTCTAACACCATTTTAACCAGGGAGCAAAGAATGTCAGAAAGGAGTTTTAAAGATTTCCATGCTTTTTTGGGGGGGGGGATATAATTCTAAAGAGGGTGCTTTCCCCTGGAAATAAAGGCCACATTTCATTGAATCGACCCAAAATACACAGGATAAACGAATTTCTAAACTACGAGGGCATATTCGACGAAACTGCAATTTTACAATGGGCTCTGGAGAGCTGCGTGGACTGTCTAGATAAACTGAGCTGGGAGTCAAATTAAGATTAGCTGTAGAGATTTGGGAAAGCTTAATAAAGTGCTATAAAAATGTACAGGACTAAATGCCAATTAGTTACAGTATTAGTGAGCATTAGTAGTAGTAATGTGATTAATAGTAAGTAAAGCTGGTTGTTAGTAGGTGGGTTTTAACTAACAAATTAACTAACCTAATCAGCCTAACATAGATTAAATGTAACTAATCTAGACTAACCCAAATTAATATTAAGTTACCTATTATATAGTTTATATATTGGATAACAAATATATTAAAGAATGTTACTTAAAATTTGCCACAAGTTAACTGTTCATGAATTCAGAAAGTTAAGCTAGAAAAAATTTCACTTGTTTAAATTATTAAAAATCAATAGCTTGCGTACTTTGCAGTTTCCTTTTCAAAATCTAATCGTGTACTGTACTGACTTTCTCCTCAGGTTAAGCTGGCCAGAAGTAACATCATACTGAACCTAAGGAGAAATAACTTAAAATGCCAGAACAGGTAAAGTCAACTTACTGAGTTTTATTTAGGCAAGGGAAGCTTGTGGGACTTGTGAAATCATTAAACATTGTGTGGGTGTGGCTTGCTGTAATTAGGGTGGGGGGGACAATATGGCTTGTGTATTGGCATATGGGGTGAGCAGGTGTGTTGGTAAAGTTTTTCATTCAAGCTAAATGTGACCAAGTTGTCAAGGGGAATACCTAAGGGGGCTTGAGGGGTGGGAGGAAGGGAGGGAGGATTCAGTAAGTGTGTTGTGTATGAAGCAGTGTGGAGAGATTTAGTAGTGTAGCAGTATTGGTGATGAAGGCTTGTTATGATTGGCTATACTATTGTTGTGGTAAATGTTAGTTGAGGTATCAAGAAAACTAAAACACTAATGCAACTTAAAATAAGATCTTTTGTAGATAAGGTATTTAAATAAACAATTGGGGACAGTATAAGTACATGTAGTCTGGTGGTAGATGGAAATTGTATGTTTAATCTTCATTGTACATAAATTACAACTTTAAACATGTTGCAGGTGACAGCTGACGTACGTGAATGCCAATGTAGAGGAAGTGACCGACACCTTGAGCAAGATGTAACACCCAGCATGTTACTTAAGCCTTCTTAGGTAAATTACTTGTGTATCTTAGTATGGCCAACCCCAAAAACTACTGGAAATAAGACTCGAGAGGAGGGACTTACTTTGTGTGAAGGGTTGGAAAGGAGGAGCATTGGGCGGTGGAGGGGCGCTCGTACAGTGGAGGGGCGCTCGTACAATGGGGGGGGGGGCGCCTCGTACAATGGGGGTGGGTGCCTCGTACAGTGGGGGTGGGGGCCTCGTATAGTGGACGGGCGCTCGTACATGGATGGTGGTGTGCTCAAGCAATGGTGAATGGTGTGCATGTTAAAAATGTGATGCAAAAAAATAGCATGTACTATGAAGGCATGTGGGGGATGATGCCTAGATGAAGACTGCTGCAGCCAAAAGTGAGGACAATGCTCCTGTGTAAGGTGATATAGGAGGGTGTTTGAGTGTATGGATATATCACATATATATATAAGAATGCAAGTTTAGATTCCAAGAAATTCTGGAGTAAATGTTGTGTATTGGTAGTAATACATTAAGGCTAATTAAGATTGATCTAAATCCAAACCATGTTGCAGGTGGTTGGTGTACAAGATAGATGGATCAGACACAACAAGGTGACCACGACTGTCTAGCATCCCACACCTTGAGGACTACCACCTTACTAAGAAAGAACAGAATTGGTGTTCTGTACACTACTGTTAAGAATAGTGTACTGCAATGTAAAAGTTAAGTATTATTGAAACCTTTTTTATATAATTTAGCAAAACTTGATATATTACTTAAAATAGTGCATTTAAGAACATACAGTACAAGTTAACCTCAATCTTGTGTATTGGTTGTGATATAAAATAGCTTAATTAATTCAGATGTAGAGTATCTAAAAACAAATATAATCATGTTGCAGGTGGTTGGTGTACAAGATAGAAGGACCAGACACAACAAGGTGACCACGACTGTCTCGCATCCCACACCTTGATGACTACCACCTTACTGAGAAAGAACAGAATTGGTGTTCTGTACACTACTGTTAAGAATAGTGTACTGTAATGTAAAAGTTAAGTATTACTGAAACCTTTTTTATATAATTTAGCAAAACTTGATAATATTACTTAAAATAGTGCATTTAAGAACATACAGTACAAGTTAACCTCAATATTGTGTATTGATTGTGATATAAAATAGCTTAATTAATTCAGATGTAGAGTATCTAAAAACAAATATAATCATGCTGCAGGTGGTTGGTGTACAAGATAGAAGGACCAGACACAACAAGGTGACCACGACTGTCTAGCATCCCACACCCTGATGACTTCCACCTTACTAAGAAAGAACAGAATTGGTGTTCTGTACACTACTGCAAGAATAGTGTACTGTAATGTAAAAGTTAAGTATTACTGAAACCTTTTTTTATATAATTTAGCAAAACTTGATATATTACTTCAAATGGTGCATTTAAGAACATACAGTACAAGTAAACCTCAATATTGTGTATTGATAGGGATATAAAATAGCTTAATTAATTCAGATGTAGAGTATCTAAAAACAAATATCATGCTGCAGGTGGTTGGTGTACAAGATAGATGGACCAGACACAACAAGGTGACCACAACTGTCCAGCATCCCACACCCTGATGACTACCACCTTACTAAGAAAGAACAGAATTGGTGTTCTGTACACTACTGTAAGAATAGTGTAATGTGAAAGTTAAGTATTACCGAAATATTTTTTTTATAATTTAGCAAAACTTGAGAAAATATTTGAAGTACTGTACTAATGCATTCAAGACTGTAGGAGTGAACCTTGATTAAAGCCACACAAAGCATTAAAAATAGCAAGATACATTATGTACAGTAGCATTATTAACTATCGTGGTAGTCAGTTTTGTTGTGGTTGCAAAAAATTTCCATTTTATAATATATTTTTCGTCCACAGGTGAAGTATCAGCAAGGTGTACAACTAGATACACGGACATCAATCAAACGGATTGTGAGAGGTTTGAATATCTCGCACGGATCCATTTATCTTAAGTGGTTTGTAAATCAAAGTATATCTCTTAATTATTCGATGTAAGAAAACCTCTGGTAGCAGAGATAAGCGTTTGTACCGGGGAGGCGTTTGTACCGGGGAGGCGTTTGTACCGGGGAGGCGTTTGTAGTAGTAGAGGCATTTGCACTGGTAGAGGCACTTGCACTGGTAGAGGAACTTGCACTGGGTAGGTGTTTGTAATGGTTTGTACTCCTACAATGTCTGTGTATAAATAAATAAATAAATAAATAAATATTGAATAAACTTTACGTTTCATATTCCGAAGTTGAATGATAATGATCTAAATAAACCACAAGTACAGTAGAACTGTAAACTATACCTGAAACATGAACTAAAGTGATCAACTTGGATACACCCACATGATGGCTTCTGGGTAACTTGGAACATGATATATACATTAATTACATATAATTATCACCAATTGACATCAAAGTGCCATTCATTGTACGTATAACTGTTACAAACCAATGCCCATGTGATGCCCTATTGGGTACATGTAATCAAAACTACTAGATACCCACAGATGGCACAAATAATGCATTTAAGTTACAGACGCCTCGGACAAAGGATTTTGACAACCTTACCGAGAGAACGGGCGTCTCGTGTTCATTTTGAAATTCATTGGCCATGACAGTAAAGAACATTTTTGATTGCATACACACTATTAATTTGAAAGTATTGTATATATACAGTAAATGAAAGTAAAGTATAGTAAGAATTTTACTTACTAAATGTTGACAATCTGGACACTGCACACCAATTGCTGAATGGAAGTGTTTTACCTGAAAATATAGAAGAAAAAAATCTTGTAAAATTGTAATAAACAACTTATGAAACCCCCTCCCCCCCCACCCCACCCCCCTAAAGACTTGGTCACTTGGATAAATTTAGAAATATATCTACTGTGCCTGGCCAAAATTATTCACAAAGTCCAAGACTTCCATTATTATCTAAAGCTAAATTTTGTGTACGACCAAAACCTGACAAAAGATAGTTTATAAAACCTTAAGGTCTAGTGAAATAAACTCACCTTATGTGGAGTCTGCAATATAAAGGTTGAATTGAGAAATCCACAACAGCTGATAATGTGACGGCCCCACCATCACTGATGTATCTGCAGAGAAATAATAATGGTAGTGGTACTGTAATGTGATTTCTAGGGACACAGGAGAAATATCTAGTGATGTTGCCAATAATTACAAGTTTTCTCTGATTTTCTTGTGCTAATATTTGGTAATGTAGGTTTAAGAGAACACAAGACTGCAGGAATGGCCAGTAAATTGATATATACTGTACCTAGACAGTGCAGGTATAAAACCAGGCTATATGACCAAGGATATTTTGTATTTCTCTATCAACTTCTGGACTGTTATTGTATATTGCAATAAATGTGTAGTGTATACATATGAAAATAAAAAATATACTGTATATTCAATTCTTTATTTTGTATTACCTATCTACAAAGATATAAAAACATAGTACACAATGTACAGTACATATGTAATTTTTTTCTATGTTGCTGACAGAACATATTACCTTTTTCAGAACAATTTATAATGTAAGTTTGTTAGGTGGCGATGGTAGATACAACACTGCAGTAGCCCTCCTCCTTTATCCGGGCTTGGGACCGGCATGTTCGGCTGAACAAGGCGGAGTTACTACTGTGCATTCTACGTCTAACTACGGTGCTGTTAGTGCTATCAACTATAACTTGAAAAACTTTACCTTTATTACCTCTAAGAAGAACCTTGTAGGTCCACAGTCAGCCACACAAACAAACCTGGAATACAAGAAGTTTAAAACATAACATTCATAAATACTTGCATATAGACATTATATATTGTCATAAGTACTTTACCTGTTTGGAGGAGTTCTGGACCAGCCACACGTTCACTTCAGTCAGACGTTCACCTCGGAGGCGCACAGTCTGAAAGAAATAAGAAAACCTTAGTCCCATCCACACACATTAAAGGTGGGAGGCTGGGTGTGTGAGAGAGGGTGAGTGTATGGATGGGAGTGAGGGTGTGTGTATGGGAGGACCTCCCCCACACACCCTCACTCCCATCCATACACTCACCCTCTCTCACACCTTTCCTTATACCCAACACTCCCTCCCAAACACCCCACCCACCAACCCAACCCTCCCACCCCCCCTCCCTCCCACCCAACCCCCCTCCTACACCACCTCCCCTCCAACCCAACTCACATACCTACCCATCCCAACTCCCTTCCCATCCACCCAACCTTTTGGGTGTGTGGATGGGAGGATGTGGATGGGAGGAAGAGGGTGTGGATGGGAGGGAGTGGTTAGAAGGAAGAGTGTGTGGTTGGGAAGAAGGGTGTGGTGTGCCATACCCTCCTCCATGTTAACACAACATCGAAAAATATTCTGAAGAAAATTGGTTTGTATTGCTGCAATATTGTGTTGTGAGGACTCATTTGTGTTTTAGTATGAATGATAAGTGTGCAGGGATTATGGTGGTGTGAGAGAGAGAGAGAGCCTTATAATAGTTGTGAGAGACTTGCTGTGTGTTGGTCTGCTGGCAGGAGCAACAGGATAGGCACGGCTTATAGCACTATTTTACCCTCACTTATATACCATATTATTGTATGTCAATAATTATTATTCAATATATTTACTGTATCAATTTGACTAACAAATTATAAATATAATATAATATCTTGAAGGTTCTAAGGTTCTTGTGGCCCCAGAATATACTACATATTATTTTATTGATAACTTTAAATTATTGTAACACAGTAGAGATAGGAACACGTAAAGGAAGATAGAACATGATTAAATTATAAATCTATTAACCAACAGCTCAACGTTTAACAGTTATGATACAGTTTAGGTATAGACTTAAAAATGTTTATCTAACCTAACCCAATTCAACCTACATCATTATATGTCCATAAGAGAAGTGGGACATCTTGGAGTATCACAAGGGAGATAATGATTAAGCATTTATCATGTAATGACTAGTGTAATAATGCCCACAGCCATCTTGTCCACAATCCCATTAAAATCATAGACAATCTCCGCAGCTAACGGTCAAATACCCTTTGGATATTTGGCCAGCCAGCACAGTCAAAGAACACCTTCATAACTTGTACTGAGCCATTATTGGGTAGTGGTGGTGGAGTCCCTTAGTACCACAGTACTGTGTTTATATTTGATTCATATTATCCACAGTTGTTCTGTGGATGATGTAGTATTAATGGTAAAATTTCACTTGTTACCACCAAACATTTGGAAGTTGAAATTATGCTTGATGGATGTAAAATATTATATAGATTTGATTCTATTGTTTGCAATTTTTTGGTACAAATTTATAAATTAAAAAGTTTTGATTTTACGGGAAAATTTGACATTTCCTACGAACATCTCGGACAAGAGTGTACAGTGTATGTAATCAATTGGCATTAGTATATAAGTATACTGTATTGATTGCACCAGTATAGAATATATAACCTAATCTAAACCATACTAACCTAACAGATGGACTATACCAAGATCTGATTGGTTAACAAACCAGCTACTAAAATGTAAAATATCTCACTTATACAGAACTTAATTTGTGACAGAAATGCCATAGAAGAAAAGTGTTTTAGAATGATCAAAACTACTGATTGCAACCATAAAATTATCAAAAAATTTTGGGTGGCAACAAATGACATAATATCATTTTAACTAATAAAAATTAACACAACTTTTTATTTTAATTATAAATACCAGTATTTTTTTATATCTTCTCTATGAACATAAATCACCTGTAATGGGCAGGACATGAAAGATGACGGAGAGTACGGGGTAAAACACGGTGAAGAACTGATCATGTGACACTAAAATGATGTCTCCACGCTCTTTGACACAGAGAAATTAACTATTTACTGTAAACAATCTACCAAAAAATATGACGTGGCAGCCTGTGTTGTTGTCCGCTCTTAAACCAATAAACACTGACTCCGGTAATACTGTACTTAACTTGTCAATAAATGACAGACCCTCACATTGGTGGTTTTATTACCATATACCGGTATATAAAATTGATTGTGTTTTTTTTCTTTTAGGCTTTACTATCCAGATTCATGAGTCTATTATCTCCACAAATCCCTTATTTATTTCTTCGTTTGGTTAAGTAGGATCTTA